CTGTACTTGAAACGATTCTTTCCAGGTAGGTGAAGGAGGTTGTTTCTTACTGGTTCCTCCCATTTATGCTGATTGTTGTCTGTTGGTGCTGGTCAGGAATCTTCATCACCTCTGTTTTCTCTATGTTCATTTGAAGTCCTAACTTCTGTGGATGCTTCTTCTGCCAGTTTGTTGCTTTTCACTTACATATCTTCCAGTTTGTGGGAAATCAGACATATATCATCGGCGAAGTCCAGATCCTCCAAGTATTTTGTGTGAGTCCATGTTATGCCTGTTTCCTCATTGCCCGTTGTCTGTCTCATTATCCAATCTACTGCAATCAGGAAAATCATTGGTGGTAGTAGGCAGCCAGGTTGTCTTACTCCCGTCCTTACTTCGACGGATTCCGTAAGTTTCCCGTTGTGGATTACTTGTCATGCACCATTGTCGTACAACTCTTGGATTAGATGTATAATTGTCAATGGGACCCTGTAGTAGCGAAGTAGTTTCCAAATGACCTCTCGATCGACGCTGTCGAAGGTCTTCTCGAAGTCGATGAAGTTGAAATAGAGGGGTGACTGCCATTCCAAGCTTTTTTCAATGATGATTCGTAGAGTGGTGATTTGATCAGTACATGACTTATTTCTTCTGAATCCAGCTTGTTCCGGTCGACGTTTTTCATCTAGGGCTTGTTTGATTCTCTCTAGGATGTTGCGGCTTAGTATTTTGCTTGGGATGGACAGGAGCATAATTCCGCGCCAGTTTTTGCATTGACTTAAGTCTCCTTTCTTTCGTAGTTTGAATAAGTATCCCTTCTTCCAATCCTCAGGTAATTTGCCCTCTTTCCACACCTTCTGCAGCAATGGCGTCATCAAGTCCGCTGTTGTCTCTGGGTCCATTTTCAATAATAAATATCATTAATCTGCAGATAAATAACTTAATTGCTAACAAAATCTCTTTCAAATAGTGTGATTTATTTGGGTCAGTGATTTACGTTAATGGCCGAAAACATTAGGTGGATAGTCTAGATAATTTGAAGTTTGATTACGGATTGATATCATCTGAAGAAGCATTGACAACTGACAGAAAGTACTGGATAGCTGTTTCATCCTGGTGCGGAACTCTTCATCAGTAGTCACACATCAGTGCACCACTGGGAATCAGACCTAGGACCTTCAGGATACTAGGCGAGCTTGCTGACCACTCAACTATGGGTTCTGACTTCTGTTAGACTGTTATGCGTGTTTTTTGAATGATTCATCTAACTCCGAAAGTTAACTGTATGCATAGACTACTAATTTTTAGTGTGTATTTCATTAGGAACAAATTATTAAAATCCACTGAAATCGATATGTTATCAAGGTTTACACTTGGGAAATTATTCAGCCCAATGGAAAAAATAAAGAAATAACTAGACTCATACTTAACCAGGAAGTTTATTATTATTTTTTTAGATATCGAAGCTTTTACTCAAAAATGCTTACACGTCAATTAAAACACTAAGTGAGCCACTTTTAAGAACGAAAGTTAGGAAAATCTAACATACAAAGAATGTATATATATATATATATATATGTTAACTAACATTCGGCTGTGTTAAGGTAGATAGACATTTATGTTTACGTTAAAAATATGATTTTGTTAAGTTTGGCTGTCGTATCTGAGAGTGAACGGTGTGTTGTACACACAATATCAAGTTGGCTAATTCTAAGTAGGAGGCAACTCACGATTTCGTTTATATTGCTTCTAATAATGATCAGCTAGAATTATAATGCAATCGCTGACATTATTGTCGTTATCAGAACCACCATTATTAATCATTATATCACCCTTCACAACCGTTGATATATTAAAGAGGACTGTTAATTTCATTGGTAAATCACACTATTGTACAATTAATTTGTACTAAGTTCTTTTTAATCATTTGAAAAGTCATTATATTCCCCGGACGTTAACTTGTTCTCATTAGCATGATAACGTTTACAGATAATAACATTAAAAGTAACACTAAATGCAGTTCATTTCATCTATAAACACAATAAAGATTACTGTTTTTAACCTTTCACCAACATTATGAAGTTTGTCTAAAATTAAGTTCCTTTTAGCTTTAACATTAATTAGTCTATTAATAGGATATGGTCTCCATAACGAATATTAATCCGTTATCAAAGCTGAGACAAATCACCTCCCAACAGATTAACTCTTGAGAATTATTCCGACGCTTACTAATGACTGTCTGAGTGGAACAAGCTGTCTAGAGCTCTAGTGAGAAGTCTTGACCAGTGGGGTCCGCCAGGCCATATTTGAGGACGAATACTTCCCTGATGACACTGGACAGCAGTCCCGCCAAATCGGCGGACTGATAGGAGCTAGAATTCGGGGCCTATTGGAATCCGGCCCAAGTGGCTGAACGGTCAACAATCTTGAACTCTTATTCTGAAGGTCTTCGTTTCGATCAGTAGGACGAGACACCTGTCCAGAAATTCCTGGTTTTCTGATATCAGTTTGTGATGTAGCATGAAATACATCAAATCTCTACAAACTAAACCGTTCAAAATTAAAATCCCTCAACCCAAATGAAATGAATTAATTTATGAACAGTATTTGGGTACTGTAGCAGAATGTTATTCCGTATTAGATAAGTCTATCCGATATCACACATAGTGATGTAGTATTATTAACCAGATGACATTTTGAGTGCAAATTATCGCTCAGAATCATATTAATGTGATATTGAATTAAAAAGAATCAGTAGCCAGTTTTCATTGAACTTGTCTTAAGGGTTTTTGTCTGAAGTTCACATGCAATATAAGTTATAAAAGTTTCAGCGTCTTCATGCAATCTTCTTCTCAGTGAACTTGAACAAGTCCAAGACAACGAAATTAGCAGGATAATATGATACAATATTTATAGAAAAGTTGAAAAGTAGTTCCATTCTACTATGCATCTCTGATACGGTTAGTGGTTAAAGGTTTAGGACCCTCTTTGTACATTTACAGAGAAACTGTCATTAATCTTCCCATACAATGGCAAGAATTCTAATTTGTTCCATTTTACTCCAGTATTCGCGTCTATAATGTTTATCATATTTGACTGTGTCAGTCCATACCCTTCCCCCACTATTTATCTGTCTTCGTTTGATACCCTCGATCTGGTTACACGATTTCTACTCATCTTACTGCTTTTAATCGCTTCAAATCATCAAAATTTGGACATTTTGCTTGTATTATTATTTTGTATTATTGCTTATCAACTCTAATTAGTATCCGTCTTCCGGTCATAACTATAGAATACTCTTGTTACTTTTCTGAATACACCACCCTACTGATTAACATCTGTGATCCTCAAGTTTTGGTTCACAAGGATTTAATTGAATCCAAGTTTAGTTCACGAACCGATATCAGTTAGAGAATCACTGAATACCAGGATGTACTGGACAGCTGTTTTGTTTGTATTCGGTACTTTTCATCACTACACAGTGGTAACTCCACCAGGGATCAAATCCAGGATATTCAGATGAGTTAGGTGACTATTCAGCCACTGCGACAGATTCTAGTGGCCCATTCGTTCTTACTTCTATAAATTCATGATATGTGTCGCTACCATCAGTCAGTGTCCTCGGCTAACATTTGTCCCCGCACCTAACCTGTAATTCTTCTCTTTCCACTCTTCATCTGTCAAATCACGTAACACAAATGAATTTTATCTTCAAGCTAATTAGTTATATCATGTGAACATTATGTGCGGTATTGATAAGAACCAACGAGATAAAATGACACAATACCACTTAGTTCAATTTATTGTTTCTGATTTGTTCAAATTTCAGTGTGTTTATAACAGAGTAATACTAAGGTGTTCCTCACTAAAGTTTCTGATATTTTAGAGTGAAGGCAAAAACTTATCAGAATCAAAACCCTTTACCATTATTTCCATGAAATTTTGGCTAGATTAATGTTCTAAGAAACGAAATTATTATTATTCATTTTTACGAGTTTGACCGCAGATTGTTATCATTTAGAGAATCCCTGAAAACCGGGGAGTACTGGACAGCTTTTTCATCCTAGTTTGGGAATTATCTGCAGTGTGCACCCACTGGGTTTGAACCCAGGACTTTCCGGTTACAAGGAAAGCTTGTATACCATTCAGCCTAAGTGATATTAATCCGTGGTCAAACTCATAAATACAAATTTAATCCCCACAAACCAACTCTTGAAAATCAGTCTGATGCTCGCTAGTGACTTGCTACAGGATGGAGTTTCTTGGAGTTCTAGTGAGAAGTCATGACCAGTGGAGTCCATCAAGTCAAGTGTGAGGATGGATGTCGCACCGATGACATTTGTTGGTGTTCGCGATAAATCACAACTTGATAGAAGTTTGAATTCATGGGCTGGTCATTGAATAGGGCCTGAGTAAGTGAATAGTATGCAAGCTCATCTTGTAACCAGAAAGTCCTGGGTTCGAACCCTGGCGGTGGGTGCGTGTTGCCAATGTTTCCCAAACTAGGATGAAATAGCTGGCTGTCCAGCACTCCCCAGTTTTCAGTAGTTCTCTAACTGGTATCAGTCCGTGGTCAAACTCGTAAAAACAAATTTAACCCGAACAAACCATCTCTTGAAAATTATTATTTATGTTTCATAAATGCTGAGGACATAAACAATTTTACCTTAAGTTTAATGGTGAACTGTCTGAGAATCCTTTTAAACAGCTACATTTTTCATGCATCATGTTGGAATATATATTTTCAATTTAATTGCTTTTTAGCTTAATTTCGTATAGTTGCTCGTTGTCCATTTTTATAAAAATTTAGAATTTGACCTTTTATCTCATTTTATTTTATAGCTTATAATTACATTTCAGTGATTTCATGCACAACTATATGCAATAACGAAGTTTTTCTTGGATTGCCAGATGGACCCTTAGAATAGGGATTCAATATACAACGATAACAGTTTCATTCTACTGGTTGGTGAAGGGAAAAACTATTTAACTTTGAAAAATATACATATACATCAAAAACTCACCATAACTGATTTTCTGATCCAGGGTTTTCACATGAAAATAAGATCATATGATGCGCTAATTCAGGATCGTACAGTGGCTCGAACTTAGCTAAATGATAAATATAAAATAGAGAGAATAATAAAAAAAAATGAAAATGTTGAATCATATATAAATTATGGAGAGAGTTTAGTATAAGGATTAGTGTAAGCTGATACCTGACTGTTTTACTCATTGTGATTCATTACCAGAAAACCTACTATCCTGAGAAAGTGAGACATTCATAGATGATAAGATACATCATTCACTGATGAATCTAGAAAATATTTATGGCCAATTTCTTTATTATTGTAAATCTCTTGTAAATTATGACATATACTTTGAAAATAACCTCAGCTGTTTAAATGGACTGAGAATTCAAGGAGAATCGGTTTCCGTCGCAGTAAGTGAATGGTCATTGAACTTGTCTCGTAATTTGAACATTCTGGTTCTGATCCCAGCTGAAATCAAGGTTGGGTACTACTGGAGAGTGGCAAACTAGTCCAGTACTACGTGGTTTTCAGTGGTTCTCTATGATATTAGCGTGTGATCAAACAAGAAACCGATCAGATCCCTACAAGCCATCACTTCAAACTCAAATGAATGTTAAGTAAGGAGATAGCAGAGGTTAAACAAAAACGATTTACATAAAAGACCTGATTATTTTCCCTACTTTTAAACATTGAACAAGCACACCCTCTGAACCTCATGAAGGAAACTTTCTGTTGCCGGAGCATACCAAAGAATTCGAAGAACAAACAGATGGTAAAGGCTAATAAAATAACGTTAATATCAGGAATTTTCATATAGAATTGCATATTTACTTGCTAATTTAGATTTAGTCGTTTGTATGTGAAATATGATTTCAGAAACACTTCCTGTTTTCTCACGGGTATTTCCAGTGCAGTGAACTGTACTCTTTACAAGAATAAACGTCAAGATGTTTATATTCAATTATGGTATCATGGTTATTAAAATTACCATTATTCGTACTTTTTTCTCCTTCCTACTTATTTTCATTTCAATTGAAACATAAGGTTTGAAGTTTTAAAGTTTCGACAGTAGTGATGGTATTTTTATTAAGGTAGGGGGTTGCTAACCGCGCACCCAACCTTTGCTATTTTACCAGGCTTTGTACCGACTAGTTGAGGTTTAAGAATATGTCGATAAGGAAGTCAGTCTAGACCTCATGCTTGGTAGGGCAATGAAAACAGGGAGGTTTGTTGCTCAGGAGAAAACAGTGTTATTTTGGTCTAGGCTTCACTACTGAATAATATGTAATATATCAAATCTTAAATTAAGAGAAATAAACATTCAAATCTGATTGATGTTAGATCACTGAAACCTCTTTTTCCCCTTAAACCGGTTAAAAATTAAAATCCTTGCTCCTGACAGTCACGCTGAAGAAATAAAATTCATGATTTTTTTAAAGACTATCTTTTTTTGAGGTCATTAACCATTTAGTTTTACATACTGCCTAATTCTTTATTATTTATATAAGATTTCTATATTATTTTTATTAAAGACTTGAAGAATGACTTCCAGCAGGCTACTGAAAACTTTCATCAGCAGCTGCCTGCACTCCATACTAAAGATCAGATGGCTGGTCAGACAGAATTAGAAATAAAGAACTCTGGCTTAAAACCAACCGAAAACCTACCTCCCAACAAACAAATATTGATGGAAATCGATGTAGATTAGAAACACCCTGTGGAGACTACTGAGTGAAACTACGTGCCCCTGAGTAGGGAACGATAATCTGGATTTGGATTCCAGGTTAACATGGAGGAAATCGTGTAAGACGGATAATCCTAGGGCCAGCTGAAAATGGTTGCAGAGAACTGGGTGAAAGGGGAAATGTTGATGAATACCTATGCCCCACTTGGTACCGAAAAGAATTATCACAACAAAAAATAATAAGTTAATCTAATGCTCAACAGGGTAAAATTCAAGTTCGATGATTATCATTATTCCCTTGCGTTCCGAGTGGAACTTAGCACTTCAGCAACACATCTCCACTTTGTTCTGTTTACTGCCATCCTCTTCAGCTGGATTCACGATTGCCCAAACTCTCTCATCTCTTCCTCACACGATCGCCCCCATATAACTTTAAGATGACCCACTCGTCGCTTTCCATTTAGATTCCACTCGAGGACCTTGCGTGCGATATCATTCGGTGGCCTCCTCAATGTATGCTTGATCCATCTCAACTTTTCTCCTACATATTTGTTGAGCGATTGGCTCTTCGTTGGTATTTTCTCATAGTTTCTTGTTAGGAGATGATGATGATGATAATTGTCATGAACTACGACTTTTACTATGTAGTAAATTTACTAGTAATGCTAATATGCGAGAGAAAATAAGATACGAAACATTCTATTCAGAAGTGCGTGGGACAAAGTGCAGTGTTTCAAAATTTTCTTTTTTGAGGTAACAAAGACACTTAAATTAGGGATAAATTGTGAGAAATTCATAGAAAATTTATATATATATATAATATCTGTGAGAAGTACTTTCTTGAGAAGTATTTTTGGTGGGATATAGAAATGAGGTCAGCAGTGTGAGTTTTCTTTAGGTAGCACTTTCCATAATCCATTGGGTACTTTTTATTCAATTGAAAATTACAACCACTTCAAATCACTTAGAAGAACCCTAAGCTGCCTAACTGCAATGAATATCTTCCATGCTTGTTATTTTTTATTGTAGTTGGACCAATTGCAGTTTTGGTTATTTTTTTTTAAGCAACTTGCAATCGCCTCTGATGTTTGAATTATTCAGTACCCAGAGGCTTTTGACAATTTATATGATACCCAATAGATGATAGAAAAAATTTCTTCAATTCTAACTTTTTAGTATGTTTGAACAAGGTGGTCTAATATGGGACTGTTCATTTATTTATTTAGGTGTCGTGGAGCAAGAAAAACTAAGTCCCTACAGCAACAGCAAAATAAGAGCCTAACTATTCGATTAGGAAGAATCGTGTGTTGTAAACACTTATTGGATAGTCTCACTCGGTATTGACTTTTTTGACACATCTGAAATCGTCTGTACGTGTGATTTAATTCCAAATAATAGAATTCTAAAAATACACAATCTGAATGACTAAATGAAATTGTTTAAATACCGTCTACCAACACAAAAGGTATCTTCTCTAACATTCTTTAATACCTTACAATAAACTATGAATCTAATACTTAAACATCAAAAGTTTGGGAGCAGAAAATAAATTTGATTCACTCAATTAATTATTTGGTCCACTCAAATATTATTAACATTTGTGTCTGGAATTAGTTGTTTTCTCTGAGCTTGTTGGTTTAATTGCTAAGATTTCGTCGTCCTTCTGGATCAGTTCAGATATAAATTGACTACCAGTCGCGAATATGGTTGACAAGAAACACAGTTATATCATTCATAGAGAATACAAGTGAGTTCATTTTATGCTGTAATTTGCACTGAATATGGTTTCCAGAAGGACGACAAAAGCTTCGCAATCAAAAGCAACAAGTCTACGGAAAGCAGTTAATTCCAAATCATCCACCTGAGTTACAAATCTCCTCTGTTATTTCCACACTTGTGTCTCTGACTGTGAGGTAATAAATATTCACTGAACAATAAATAGAACTTGATGTGGGATAAACTCAAGGGTCTATAGTTACTGATTACTTTCAGTTTTAAATTGATGCATTATTTAATCCCTAATTAATCCGTTAATTGGTTATATATCACAAAGTAACTCAGTTTTATTTACTGGTAATAATTGTAATAATAATAAAACAATACTGTTTTATTGTTTTACGTGTTCACTGAACAAATTACTATGGGATTACTTACTGCCACAGTAGCCAAGTTTTATCTAAAGATTTTGTCTAATCTGTTCTTTACAATTATCACTCAAAGAAATCGTGACTAGTAGGGTCCATCAAGTCGTGTGTATGGACAAATATCGGCCAATGACATCAGCTGGTAATGGTGTCATATTTCGCCAAATGCCAGAAGGTAAAAATCATGAACCACTGGATTCTAATCTAGTAACAGAAAGACTAACGAATTCGCCTCGTAACTTGAAGGTACTGGAATCGATCCACGATAGGGTTATGGGTGGTTATTGCTGGATAGTACTAATCTAGGATGGAATATCAATCCAAAACTCCTTGGTATTCAGTGGTTCCCTAGCTGGTACCAGTTTGTGATTTGACACGAAACTTGAGTAAGCAGTCAGGAGTGTAATATTCAGCTAAATAATCTGAATGATTTTCTGACGTTAAATAGTTTATATATATATATATATTCAATGAAACCTGTCTAATGTAACTAACTGTCAGATATTAAAGATAAGTCGATAAAATTTCGTAAGGGATTAGTTAACTTTTTTATTTATACATAACTTTATCCATGAAATCCTCTACTGATAACAGTGAATATTACATCTTAAAAGTAATATGAACCATATTCTAATTTATTCACATATATAATGTAGCATTTTGTGTAATTTATCTTTGAAAACATTTCACCATATACACAACACTTTTATTTATGAATTCGTTTCTGGAACCAGTAAATGGTGAGTGATTGATGATAAATTGCGGTGTTTGAGATAGTACAAGAATTTTCGCTAAATTCGTTATGTTATCTAATGAAATTATTTTTAATCTCTCGTTGACTGATTAAATTAGACCAAAATGCTCAGGCATCTTCGGTATGTGTCCTTCTGGTACCGATACCTCAGAAATGCCTATTAGTTAACTTTATGTTATTCGATACTTCAGTGGATACAGTTTCAGTGTCTGAAATTATAGCTGCTAGATCTATTTCTCAATGGAGACAACATTACTCACTGGGAAACAAGTAGCCTTGAATGAGGTGGAATACGCGTCTTGGATCCGACTATTGGTTGTCATTCAATAAATAAAACGCTAGTCATTTACGGTTTGATGGCTAAATTCCTCAATCGGATTTATAAAAACATTTTCCACTGATAATAATTAATTTATCAACAAGAATTCTGATTCCTTGATGTTATTAGATGAATTAGATAATTGCCTCATCTTTTGAATTCACGTAAAGATTTTAGAAAAATTATTTCCAGGTAAGATCACATACAGTTTTGTATTTCTTAAGTAATTATATCATGTTAGCTAATGTTGAGAAGAACTGATTAATTCAGCCGTTAAAGGTGGTAATGGACACTTAGCAATAAAAAAACGGAATCACTAAACTAAACGGTCATAGAGAAATGTAAATTGACCGTATCCAACTTACTTCCGTAACATATATATTTATTTTTATTTATTTATAATTTTTATTATAGCTTGGTCACACACCATATTTTTGGTACAAGTATGGAATTTTCAGCATGTGATATCGGTATCCCAAATTTTTCAGGCCGACCGTTGATATCAGGTGTGCGTCGGCAGGAGATCGAACCCCTGACCATGTGTACGGCCAACAAGAGTCCTAACCACTCTGCCACTAACGCACAGCTATTACCAAGTCGTTAACATTTAACTAGAATATAGTTAAAGCTACAGAGTAAAGTTAAAATTTCACGCGTAAACGAGAAGAATATCCATAAAAGTAGTATAAGCCTAAATGTTGTTCACATTTAGCTAGAAGTTTAGTATTCGTTTCCATAGAAATTGATAAGAATCTTTAATTGGAGAAGACAAATTAAGCAGATACGTGTCTTGTGGCAGTAATACTACTACTAATAATAATAACAGGGACAAATTCATTCAATTATACAGATACTTGCTTGAATTTATCCTTGTTAAGATTATTCAAATCAAATCATTTCGGTTATTATTCACGAAACCTAGGTCCAAGGCCTCCTGCCGATTGCCTCCAACCATCTAATATCATCAAATCAATGTGCACCGCGATGATCAGCTACCTAGAATGGTGTCCACATTGCAAACCTGACTGATAGAATTCAGTCTGCACCAAAGAAAGGACTAGACACGTCACACTAGTTACTAGTGTCCAATGAAAGTCTCCACTACAGTCCTACGGGAGGTCAATCGCGAGCCCAAATAGCTCAATGGTAATGTCTCTGATTGCAGCACTGGGTGACGCGGGTTCGAATCTCAGAAGGGACATGAATTCATCCAAGGTGGCAGATACGCCTTGCTGACTGGTGAGTGCCAACTGGCACGAAACCTAGATAGTGTCCAAGGCTTCCTGCCGATTGCCTCCAACCATCTAATATCGTTAAAACTAAATTCATATACCTGAACTTTAATTCTATTGACCACATTTTAGTTTCAAATATCAATGAATAATGATATTAATATGTAGTTGTAATTCCTCATGAGGAATAACGGAAAACAAAAATTTGCTTATATTGTACGCTTTAATTTTCATAATGGGAATATTAAAATTATACTCAAACTGATCCAGCAGGTGAATTTTGCAAAGTTATTCTTTTATTTCAGAAACAACTGTGACTATGAATGTGTTAGATGTTCAAAATTAATTCAATATCAAGTCTTAGTTGACTTCAGTTTCATGAGCATTAACCATCAGAACCTTGGGGAAATTAACTTTTATCTTGAATACTACATCTACTTTTTATTTGGTAGATGGTGACTACCACAATGCGGATCCTGCCTTATCTGAAACTTGTCACCTGGGTGCACCTGCATTACCCAATGAATAATTATGTTCACACTGAGACTCGAACCTAGTTCTCATTGTTTGAAACGCCGAATCATTATCCATGAGACCACTTGGGTTGAAGCTTCCATACTAGGATCTGACATGCCGAACATTTCAGTCAAATCAATCACAGGGAAAGAAGACAAAATTCTCTGAATCTGCTTCCTTCAACGTTGAATTCGAAGATAAGTGTAACGTTTACTTTCAAATTAGGAGGGAAAAGTTCCTAAGGCGGAACAACTTCAATCCACCTTCATCTTAATAACCTGCTGAGACGTCTTACGTTTGAGGGAAAAAAACCTACATACGAACACATTCAACTATTCTTAAATATTTTAAATCATAATTTGTAAATACCAACCGAAAAATATTGACTGACATACATACATGGTTGTACATGCATTTAATTCACCTATAAACCTTATATGTCTTATCATTTGGTGCATAAAGACTAACAGGGAGATCCAGAACGCCTATTGTTTTCCTATTTAAGGCTTGCCAGATATTTTCAAAGTATCTGTACTAGAAGCCGACATGTCAACACGCAGAGAACATTTCAGTCAATCGACGGGAAATACCAAACTAGGTTTTTTTTAACTCAGATTTCTTCTTTTCTTATTTCAACCATAGGAATTCTTAATATGTTATAAGTCTTTTAGAAAAGAATGGATTACATATTCCCTTTTCAATCTAAAACAAAAATTAATCTAAAGTCGAATATATGCATTTTTTTAACATTTTGACAACTATAGAAATACTCACTTATATAAAATGTGTTATTGTCAACTCGTTGTGAATAACACCAGTATTCATCATCCTGAAGGTAGGATAAATTGTTTTATAGCATAGAAACACTAAATCAAAGTACCTGTGTTGTCCTAACTCCTGGCATACGAATCGTATACTCATCTCGTGAACTAGGAAAAGTGAAAATCCCATGTAAAGTGATTAAAAGCAGTAATGTGCAGCATGTAAGTGGCGGCATCGTGTAGATCAAAGCGGAAACAAAATCTGCAGTGGTACTGAATGAATACTCATATTTGTAAATTTAATTTATACATGTAAACTAGTAGATAGCCAATCAGAATACAGAAGAAAATTGGGTAAACTGATGCATTGCGGAGGCGTTCTTACATAAGTTTGCATGTGTGTGTGTGTGTTTTTTATCTCAGAAATGTTTGCTGTTATACGCCCTAGCTTCCCTTCATCGCTTACTTCGGATAAACAGAGACATATATTAAAGATACAATCTTATTTGCCTAAACAATCAAATCACAGTAATCAATTCTCAACAACCAATCGTCAATGAGTATGTGTGTTTCTCTAAATTCAACCTGCTTAAGTTATACATCAAATCAATAATTTTACTCACTCGCTATTCCACTTTCTCTATGTATCTTACTTACTGGTATATCTGCCTATCTTTTTGTCACACCCACTCATGTGCTTCTAAAAATATTCATTCTAGCAAAGGAAAATTATTTGGGTTTTAAAATACAATGCTGATCATCTGTTTGTATGTGGGCAAATGCTACCTATTACTCTCATCTCTTCTCTATAGAGAAAGAATATAACGTGAATAGAGAGATAAGTTATGTGTTATGTCCACACGATACTGAGAAAATGGATCGACTCACAGACATTTTTAAGGCTAAATTAAGTCATGAGCATAAAATAGAGTTAGTTTTGGAAAATTTTTCTTCTTTTCTCCATTGATTTATTTATGTGACCTGAAATTTGATGATGAGAAGTTATCCTAAAACTGAGGTAGTAGTAGTTTTTTTTTTCAAAGTTTCTCATGGATGGATATTTATGATTAAATACAGATCTAAGTAACATGGATGTAGAAATTATTGACATTAGAAACAAATACAACATTGCAGTAAACAGTGCTTACAGTTCAAATGGAAGCCAAGAATCTATTTCATCAGATGTATATATTCCAGAGAAACTTGGAAGACTTGTGATTTAGTTGTTAAGCGTTTGAATAAACTTCTCAACGGAGAAAATAACAACAATCACAAATCTCCATGTTACATCTGGTAAAACAACCAAATGTAAGGTAATAAGTGCTTGAGTTTTTATTTATGTATACTATATTTTAATATTTGACATTCAAAATTAATGTGTACATATTGAAATCTGTTCTCTTATCATTGATGTGTAAGAACTGTTGTTAAGTGTGTTGGAGGCAGTCGAAAGAAGGCTTTGAACCTAGTTTTTGTGCTTGGCAGTACCCGTCAGCAATCTTGAAGGGACTTATATCCCTCTTGAGATTGGAATCTGAGTCACAGACATATGCAATGAGCTATTCGGGCTTGCGATTGACCTTCTGTTGGACTATAATGGATACTTTTGACTGGGAACTAGACAGTAAGTAATTGATGTCATGCGTCTGGTTCTTCATTTGGTGCAGAAGGAATTCTAATAGTCTTGTCAATGCATCGACTAAATTTTTTATTGGTTTATTTTTTTTAATGTTGACATTTACCACAGTGAGGTGTATTCTCTGTGTGTACGGGTGGGATTCTAAGTGTTCAAGTAGTGAAGGAATATCTCATCGGTCTGAACACTTTACTAAGAACGTTTGACATTTTTTGAAAAGAGTAAAGTTGAAATTCATAATTAAATATGCTCACTTCTACGTGTTTTCTCAACTTTACTGAATATATAAACAGTAATGACCGACAGTGATTTGCCTTGATTCATCAGTAGTGTATTACAGATAAAATGTATAGGCTTACTTGACTGGTGAATTTCTTAGGCAATTTAACCACTGAAAGTGACCTTGAAATTCTATCATCATTTGTACCCTTTTCCTTAGGGTACAGGAAAATGTACAACAGATCTCGATCTTTTTTACTGTTAGAAGTATTCTTCCAGCTATAGGCAAAATATTCTTCTGATTACTAAGATCATTCAACAAAAATACATTACTATGAATTCTAATTAATCAAAATCAAATGAAATTAATTATTTATAATGACTTGTTCTGTAAAAGACTAAAGTAACAACCTGTTCACATACTGATGAAGTTTTTAACACGTCTTTTTAATTTCTGTCAGTAGTCTGTTTCTTCGTACAGTTACTAAGTTATGTAGAATTTTATCCTGCTGATAAGACCACTACTATTGTATACCTTGTACAGAAATAATCCCAAGTAAGAGCTTATGAAGTGTTGGTTTTTTGTCATATTTCTCAACGAGATTAGGATGCTTAATTTGCAAATAAAGGACTGTCTACCGGGAAACTGTGAGTTGTTGATATGTATCCATTTATATATATTTATGTGTGTGTATGTTGGTCTCTCTTTCTGTTTGCTAGCTTAGTCTGTGACCATTTCACTTGTATGAACTTGTCTCCTTTAACAATGTATATTCCCCTTATATTATATATAATATGAGTGTTTGTTGACAGTCCGTTGCTTGGTGACATATATCCATATATGGTGGTTGTTGACATGTCTGCTATATTTCGCTATGTATATATGGATCGATACTTCATTATAATTAGCCATTCATGTTAAGACTGTCTAATGAATGTTCACACCCTTGTCTGAACATTCATATATATATTTCGTTCTCACAATCTTGTAACTACTTTCTCTTTGGTGTGATACCACTTTTGCATTCTCCTCGTGTTTGGAAATAGAAGTATCATCGCAAACCTAGTGGTCTTCTGATTTCCGCCTTCTTGCGTCAGGACTATTAAATTCTCGACCAGTACATAACAATAATTTAGCGACGAGTACATAACAATTTGGCGACGGGGAAAACTATTATTAACCACTCAGCAGCAGCAACATAACAGTTGTGCTTAAATGTTATCCTACAGAACACATATTCGTGTTCCTGACAGTCACTAAGCTAGGAGACTCGGCAGCACAGTGTACTTTGAATTACCAATGAATGCCTGTAAGCATAAAATCTAGGTTGTGTGTCTCCGGTCAACTGCTCCCAACCCCTAACACTATTTTAAAATATAATTGTTATCATCACTTTGTTTCATAAAGTAAGCAGTAAAAGATCAACAAATGTAAAACGTTTATTTACACAGACTGTTTATCTCCATCCAATAGGTCTTCAGCTTCTCAATTTGATGTAAGTAATTAATACTGCTAATCAGTAAATTTTTTTATTCCTAGTAGAACATACTGCTTCAATGTTAAGCTTTTTAAGTTTGAGTAATGGTGATGTCTTATTTTTATGAGATGGCGTTCCTTGCCTTATGCACAACCTTCCCTTTTTATCAGTTTCATCACCAACTAAGCGAGGTGTAAAAGTGCGACGCCTGGGAATCAAACCTAATGGCAAGAATTCAACCACTGAGCCAACAACGCTAACCAGTGAGTAATTTTACATGATAAAGTGAGTAAGTATTTCAACAGATAGTTGATTTCATCAATTCCTAGGTTAATTTCCAAGTATTGGTTTTGTAGGGATTTTGTTTGATTGGATGAAGGAGTTCATCATGAGCTGATATCAGTTTCAGAACCACTGGAAAACTGGGGAGTACTGGAGAGCAGTACTTCCAGGTTTTCCAGTGGTTCTCTAACCGACGTCAGCTCATGATGAACTACTCCATCCAATTTTTGGTCAACCTGTATTTTCACAAACAGTGTGATGCTACTTAATAAAAATCTAAACCCTCACTGGATTCTCCTTTCATATTCAAACTGCCTAAAGTAGCTATGATTGGGCAAACTGGTATTAATACAATTAGTTAATAATAAAAGTTGGATAATAGAGGGGTATAAATAACAATTATTAAGTTAATTAACTCACTTCTCCACTAACTGACCTACGAAACTTTCCAGGTTTATTACATGCAGCGTATGAATCATTTTTTAAAGTGTTGCTTGGCGTGAATTTGACTGATTTTACATTTGACCACTAATTGACATCAGTTAAAGAATTGTTGATTGCCATGGAATGGACAGCTGTTTTGTCCCTGTTCGGGACTTTTCCGTAGTACCCATACATGACCCCACCAGGGGTCGAACCCAGGACCGTTAGGTTACAAGTTGACCTAGTTGACCATTAATCCTATGTGACAGAATCCAGTAGAACTTCTAGGAGTTGGCAATATATGCAGGGCGGTAGACGACTAATATCATTGGAGAGTATTCATCCTAAAGTTCAACTTTTTGGATTCCTCTGGTCATGACTTTTCACTAGAACACTAAGCAGTTTCACCCTGCGGTCAATAATTAGGGAGCACGGGATTACCTTCCAGGTGTAGGTTTGCAGAGATTTGATCGATTTCAAGTTTGATGAGTTTTGTTTAGTTTAAATTGATTTTAAAAATAGTTACAAAAATTAAAATAATTTTGAGAATGTTACAATCTGTTGGGAATTATTAGAATGAATGTGAACACATGTACTAAGTGTATAATACACAAGAAAGTTTGTATGAATAAATTTCGTAACATATGACTGTCAAAACTAACAACTTTTTGAATAACTTTTAATTCACTCTAACTCAAAAGTGTTACTAAAAAAACCATTTGCCTTCCTATGCAGTTGGTAGTGACGCATATTTATGGCATGCGGACTGGTGATACCATCTGGTAGTCTAAATCTGGACAGGTGGAGTGAAAGTTCAAAAGCGTGATCCAATGATTGAAATTTGGATGCACATAAATCCACTTCATTTTCCTGTAATTAAATGGGCTGCAATGTTCAAGCATTAAGAATCTTAGCAAAGATACAACTTTCAAAGATAACTTTATATCGTGAATTGATAGAAATTAGATATTCATGAGCAATTGAATCGGGTTCCAGTAGCTGAATGATATACAAGCTTGCCTTCTAATCGGAACGTCCTGGGTCCGAAACCAAGTGGATGAGTACTGCCTATGAATCCCAGACTAGGAGAAAATAGCTTTCCAGTATTCCCTGGGTTTCAATGGTTCTCTAACAGATAATAATCCATGGTCTAACCTGTAACTTTATAACATTTGTCTTATTTTATTTGATATTTTATAAGGAGGTTGAGTTTTTACAAATTGGAATTTATCATTTTGTAGGCATCTTCTGTGGTATGACTGTCACTTTTTTATTCTGAAAAAAGCTTTACTACATCAGTTTTCCCATTTTTGGACAAAACATTTTTCTGTGTTGTGGTAGATGGCCATTTGCAATAATGACCTGTGGTGACTTCTTATTATCCAAGTGGTTGTTATTCTTAGCAGACATTTATGTTCCTACTCAAGA